ATTATCATTCCTATTATTATCATTATTATTCTATTACTGTTTTCATTCCATCATCCCTATCATTATTATCATTATTATTATCATCATCATTGTTATTATTATAATTTTTCTTACCATTATTACCATTGTTATTGTTATCGTTATTAGTACTTTAATTAATATTACTATTATTGCTATCATCATTATTATGATTATCTTATTTTCTCATCATTATCCTCATGATAGTCATAATCATAATCATCACCAATCATCATCATCACATTAATACTACCATCATCACCATCCTTATCACTATAACCTAACGATAAAAATACACACCCCTACCCCCCCAAAAAAAAAAAAAAACACGTAGGAAAAAAACCCCCCCCCCAAAAAAAAAAAAAAAAAAAAAAAAAAAAAAAAAAGAAGAAAAAAAAATACTCACACTTAACATTTAGCAGAATCCTCTTACTGACTGAAGGAGGGACGCCGTTGGAGGCTATGCAGAGGAAGGCCCCGCTGTGGTTCCTCGAGACTCCGGGAATGAACAGCGTCTTGCCCAGGTACTCGTCCACTGATAGATAAAGAGATTAGATTAGATAGATAGAGGGAGGGAGGGAGGGAGAGAGAAAGAGAAAGGGAGGGGAAGAGAAAGAGAGAGAGAGGGAGGGAGTGAGCGAGGAGAGAGAGAGAGAGAGAGAGAGAGAGAGAGGGAGAGAGAGAGAGATAGATTCGATAGATAGATGGATAGATAGAGAGAGGAAGGGAGAGAGTGAGGGGAGAGAGGGAGAGGAAGAGAGAAGAGAGAGAGAGAGAGAGAGAGAGAGAGAGAGAGAGAGAGAGAGAGAGAGAGAGAGAGAGAGAGAGAGAGAGAGAGAGAGAGAGAGAGATTCGATAGATAGATAAATAGATTCGATAGATAGATGGATAGATAGAGAGAGGGAGGGAGAGAGTGAGGGGTGGGGAAGAGAGGGAGAGAGAGAGAGAGAGAGAGAGAGAGAGGAGAGGAGAGAGGGAGAGAGATAGATATTTTCGATAAATATATTATATAGATAAATAAACAAGCATATAGATATATAAAGGCTTATAGTTTCAATAGTTATCAAATGTTGGTAAAATTCATAGTGTTATTAATGAGTTTAATATTATATGAATATCAAAAGCTTCTTACAAAACTTGATAGACCGGCAATTTTTTACATAGTATAAATCATATGCATACATCCCCCATATCATTTCATAGTATAATGTGATTGACTGTACACATACAACCAACATCATATTTCGTTGCAGTCCGTGATAAACTACGCATAAAAAACACATTTTATTGCTTAGCTTTACACGGTAAACTCTACGGGCCAAAACCCACGTTTCATTTAATATTGTTGGTAGCATTTTACATGTAAATAATTCAAAACTTTTATAAAAAGTTACAAAGCCCTTTTATTGCTAAATAAATATATGGATGGATACGTTTTTTTATTTATTTATTAACGACATGCGGAATATTACACTCATAAAGTTATTACTATTAAGGTTTATATGAGAGAAAGTGATGAAGAACAAAATACAAACCCAATAACATGCACAAATATTACACCATGATGTTTCGAGTAGAATCAGAATCCTCATCGGGTAAAATTTCTTCGATATTACCTCTAATTTCATTTCTTTATCACGTGAGACTAAAAAGACAACATGTTCAGTCTTACGAGAAAACTCTCGGTGTTCATTGCACCTTATGACCTGTTCATGTGACTTCCTTGCGTACTGGATTTATTTAATTTCTTTATAATTGTAACTTCAAATTTAATTGTACGACTTTTTTGGTCCGGTCAAAAAGTTGTAAAAGATGTCTCATGTAAATTAAGTTCTTCTCGCACCTTATGACCTTTTTCTGTGGCTTATTTAGTTTATTTATCATTGTAACTAATACATAAAAATAAATAAATAACGAGATTTTTATTCCCACAAGAAAATCTTCTCTTATTTAAGTTGCAAAGACGGCTTCACGCAGATCAGTTGTTTTTCGTACCTTATGACCTTTTCCAGTGACTTACATATGTCATGGCTACGTTCAATTTCTTTATTGTTGCAACTGCAAGATTAAAGAAACGACATTCTTGCTTCTACGACAAAACTCTCTCTGCTATATTATAAAAAAAATATTTCCTTTAAATTAGTTATTTCTCGCACTGTAAGACCCTTTTTACTATGACGTACATGTCATGGAAGTATTCTTTTCTTATTGTAACTGAATGTAAGACCAAGAACAAGTCTTTTTTGGTCCAATGACAAAACTTTCTTAGTTCAGTCACAAAATACGTTTCCCGTAAGTCAAGGGTTTCTCGCACCTGAAGACCCCTTTTCTATAACGTACAAAAGTCATGAATGTATTTTTTCTCTTATTGTACCTGAATGCAAGAACAAGAACAAATTTATCTTGGTCCAATGACAAAACTCTCTTGGCTAAGTCACAAAAGATGCTTCCCGTAAGTCAAGTGTTTCTCGCACCTTATGAA